CCTGCTTCTCCCTCTCCCACTCCCCCTGCTTGTGTTCCCTCTCTTGCTGTGTCTCTCTGTCAAATAAATAAATAAAATCTTTAAAAAAAAAAAAGTTTTTCTACACACTTGCTTAAAAGTAAGAAAACCTTTTTTTTTTTTAATCTCAGAATTTGGTCTTTGAAAACAGAATTTGGGGGCGCCTGAGTGGCTCAGTTAGTTAATCGTCTGCCTTGGCTCAGGTTATGATCCTAGTGTCCTGGGATCGACAGGAGTCATGCTCCCTGCTCAATGGGGAGTCTGCTTCTCCCTCTGCCCCTCCCCCCCAAATAAATAAATAAAAATTTTTTTTTAAAAAGAAAGAAAACAAAATTTAGTTGTGAGTTTTGAAAGCGACACACGTCATTAACGTCCAGTTCTGCATTCTCAACTTCCTGACATCCTGAGCTTATGTGCAACAAAGCACAAACTTTTACCCACTGAGCCCTGTGAAAGACAGCCAAATTTCAAAGACTGGTAAGAACCCTTTTTAGACACTAACACTTTATCAGCTATGTGATTTGCAAATATCAGAGGGGAGGGGGTGGGGGGATGGGTGAAATAGGTGGAGGGGATTAAGGGTACATTTATCTTGATGAGCACTGAGTAACGTATAGAATTGTTGAATCACACTATATTGTACATCTGAAACTAATATAACACCGTATGCTAACTATACAGGAATTAAAATAAAAAACCTAATTTTTAAAAAAGTATTCTTTTTAGATTTTGGTTTTCCAAAGAACCTTCTGCAAAGCCGTTTTACATAAATGTAATAGAAGCAACTGGAGGCTCTACCTACCCTGCCCAGGGGGCCTCTGATACCATGACTCCACCTGGTGACCTGGCTATCCCAGAGCTCCAGGATGGACTTTGAGAGCCATGTTGGCCATCTGCATGCCTTCCTAGCCTGCTTCCCACTTATCCAAGACTGATCATATGCAAACCCATGTGGTCCTATTCAGAGGAAACAGAGTTCTAGTAACACTGCTGAAGGCCAAGTTCAAGGTCACAACCTTCCCCATGATTCATTAATAAATAACAAAAGCCAGTGACTGGGTGCAAGTAATGCTTTACAAGCGTTTTCTCATTTGACGCTAGCAACAGCCCCAGATATCCCCAGGTCATACACTGCTGGTCAGAAGAAGCCGAGCAGGTTGGCTCTGAGTCTTGGTCTGAGTATTGGTCTCTGAGACCTCTGGTTGCCCATGTTCCCTGGCCCAGTGACATGCTGTGACAAACCCTGTGTAGGTGCTTCGGACCACAGTTCCAGCTGAGCCCAGTCTACAGTCATCCCAGCCCAGGCCCCAGACTTTGGAGTGAGAAGCAGGGCAGATGCAACAGCCCCAGATAGCCTTCAGGAGCAGAAACAAGCCATCCCCTAGGGCTTGCCCATCAGGCCCTGTCCAAAGTCCTGACCCACAGAATCCCAGAGATTAATAAAATGGTTGCTGCTTTATGCCACTAAGCTTGGGGTGGTTGGATATGCAACACTAGTAACTAGAACAGAGTTTGATTACACACTATCCTTACTTTACAGATGAGGAGATGCATGCAAAGAGAAGTAAGGGGAAAGCAAGGATTCAAACCTAGGTGTTATTCTAGACACATCCTAGACCACTAACTGTACTGCATCACCCATGTACCATTTTTGTTGGCTTAAAGGAGTCATCTCCAGGACGCTAATCCCAATCCTACCCATCTTAGAAGTGCCTTCATCTGCACTGGTCTGGGATTTATAAGTCAGTTGTTCTCCACCTTGAACGTGCATCAGGAGCACCAGGAGGACTTGTTAAAAACACAGATGTGGGGCATGGGTGGCTCAGTTGGTTGAGCATCCAACTTTTGATTTTGGCTCAGGGTCGTAAGATCAAGCCCCGTGTTGAGCTCCACACTCACTGTGGAGTCTGCTTGTACCTCTCCCTCTCCCTCTCATGCTCTCTCTCTCTCTCAAATAAATAAAATCTTTAAAACACACACACACACACAGATGGCAGGGCCCCACTCCCAGGGTTTCTGATATTGACAGTCTAGGATGGGGTCTGAAAACTTGTGTTTCTAAAAAGTTCCCAGATGATGCTAATGCTGCTAGTGTAGGGACCTCACCTTGAGAACTGCTAGTGCAGATCTTCTTGAAGGAGTAATGGCAGTTTTGAGAGCAATACTTTTTTGGAACAAGCCATCATTGTGCTGATTACAGATCAGGCCAAAACACCCCCCACCCATCCCACAACTTTTTCAGTGGCTCCCAGGGCAGCTCTGGCCTGGCCTGGCCCTTTTCCATACCGGCACCTCTGTGGTTTGCAGACACTGGCAAAGGACAGAGATATTCCTAACAGATGAGTGGGTGGGCATATGCACTAGAGGTAGGAAGCTGCGAAAAGCTGTCTTTCTACACAACAGTTTTCTGAAGCTCAGCTGCTGGCTACGTAGCCATAAAGAAGAAATAAGCAAAGGAAGAAGAAGCAGAAGAATTGCTTGCTGACCACACCCAGCCTTGACTGAGTGAGGTTCACCAGACCCCTGGTGCCTGCCCCATGAAGTCCGTCCCCACTGTCTTATCAAAGAATGAGAGGTGGCAAGTGCACACAAGCCAGCCAGGAATGTTCATGGTGGCCTCAGGTTTCCCACATCCAGAAGCAGCCTCAAGGAGCTGCACTTTCTATGTGCCTTCCTGCTGTGAGTTGCTCTCCTCCCCTTCAAAGGTACATTCCATCAACTCCGCAAAACTAAGGGTTTGGTTTTCTTCCCACTAGTTCAAGGACACATGCTGCTGACTCAATTTTAGAGAAAATGCTTATCTAGTAAGTGACTCACTTTGATTAAACCAGCAAAGTAATATACAATATGAAAAAAACATATATCTGGTCCAAAGTTCCCTTAAGTTTCTTTGTTTGAAAGTTAACTGCAACACACTATCCATAATTTTATGGCTATTTCTGAATATAATAAATTAAATTCACTACTACTTACTGATCACTGATAAATGCTGGGCTGGTCCATACCTTCTGGCACTGTGTCCTCACAACCAGACTAGCAGGTGGGCATTATCGCCTGCAGTTTATATGGGGGGAGACTGGAATTGAGAGGAGTAGAAAAACTGGGCCAGTACGTGGTGGAGATGTGCCAGACAGCAGATCCTACCTAGAAGTTCAGCCATGAAGATGTGCAGGTCCTTTCCTTAAACACCTCCTCGACCCCATCCAACTCCATAGTCCGGCACAGCAGGCAGCCCCTCTGACTAGGCACCTGACTGCAAGTCCCATCCTGCCCTGGGAGACCAACCCCAGGCCTTCACTGCCAGGCCGCTACTGCCTCCAGTCTCCAGTCCCTGGACCTTCTCCCCTTGTGGCGTGGGGGTACAGTGTACCCACCCCCATGCCAAATCTTAAGGAAACACTAGTGGATTCAATCTCAGCAGATACCAGAGGACTGACTGGCTGGTGGAGCTGGTTTCTGGGATCTCAATTGCCACCGTCTAAAGCAAGCCCTGGGTCTTCAGAGGCGGGACACAGCTTAAACTGTCGATTGGGAGACACCCATTCCTTCCTTCCCGTCCACAAGCCCAGAGCAAGGAGATAACTGATTCCTACTGATGGCGGGTTTTTTTTCCTCCCCCTCTGCCTGCCACTCGGTTTGTTTACATGGGCAGTATCTCCCCACGCAAGTCTCTGGGCACGAAAACTGAGGTGACAAGTCAGCCGCTTTTCGTTTTTGCCTCTCCCAGGGACAGAAGTGGGGGAGTCCCGGCCGACACTTGCGAGCCCCACGCCCTCCACCCCAGCCTGGCCCAGGGGTAGCCCGCAGCAGCGCGGGCGCACTTCGCAGCTCAGTGGAACCCCGCAGCTGAACTCGAGACAGTCGATTGAGGAGCCGCGCTGGGGCAAGGCCAACGGCTGCGCGACTCCAGCTGACGCCGGGCCGGGTCTCCGCAGGCGGGGGCCGCAGCGGGGAAGGTGGGGTCTGGGCGCGGGGTGGCAGCGGCCGGGGCTGGAGCCTCTGGGGCCGCATGGGATGGGGGCGGGGGCGGCGAGTCGCCACGGTTGAGAGCGCGACAAGCAGAAGCCTGGAGGTGGGGCCTCCCGGGGGGCCGTGACCCGCCGGGCCGGGAACGGCTGTTAGGTGCCCTCGGGACTCGTGAGCTGGGGGCGCCCTGGATTCCCCGCAGCGCACTCACCAGACACGTTTAACTGGCCTCCCAGAAACCAGCCGATCTTGCCGCTGCTGAAGTCACAGTCCCAGACAGTGTGGTAGGGGGTGTCCCACACGAGCGTGTCCCGCGCCAGCGGCCCCCAGAAAGCGACCGGATCCCGGGCCGCCTGTGTGCTCCGTGCCTGGTACGAGCCCGGCTGCGCGGCGGCGGCGGCGGGGGCGCTCACCCCGCGCAGCTGCCGCACCGGCTGCCCCGAGCGCCTGCACAGGCTGCCCAGGAGCCGCCCCGCGCTGCTGCCCAGGCCACGCGCCGCCGCCATCTCGCCAGACGCCGGGAGGCACTCGGAGCCCCAAGCGGGTGCCGCAAGCCCGCGGCGCCCCTTAATGTCTCCGCGGGCCCCGCCCCGTCTCCTCCCTCTGGCCACCACCCACTCCTCCCGGCGCCTGTGCCGTAGGAAGCTGCCTCCCGCAGCCTGCCGCGAACCCCACCCCTTCTTCTCCTGCCCTAGAGAAGAGGTCCGCGGAGGAAGAGAGGGCGTCGGGGAGCGCGGCCGGAAGGTTCTCGCGGAGTTGCGATGCGCCCCCTTGTCTTTGCTTTCCGGTCCTGAGGCTGGGCGTCGGGCTGTTTTGGTTTCAGTTTGTGGGTCTTCAGGACCCAACAGCTGCGCCAAGCAAAAACAAAACAAAAACAAAAACCAGCGACACGTGCGTCGCGGGACGCAGGCTCCGGGCCCCTGGCGCCCGAACCGTCTGCTATGGGAAGGAGGCGGCGCAGAATGTAAGCGACTGGTGGAGGGAAGCGCTCAGGTGGGTCTGAAGACCACCAAAGTTAGGTCCTTTCAGCATTTCAGAGGCTGAAGTCAAAGTATCAATCCTTTTGTACGCCCTTGAGAGTGAGCCCGTCACCTTGCCAGGCCGACCTGTACCCCCACCCTCCAACACACACATAAATGGCCCCCGTGGGCCAAATGGGCTGGTTAGTTGTCGTCAGGCCACGATGTTGGTCTGGGCTCTGATGCTCAAACCCTGGCCCAAGGTCTGATGCTCTTAGCAGCCAGCTGCCAGCCTCAGGCCCCTTGGGAGTCACCTCCGGGGGAGGGGGGGCGCGCAGGGGGGGAGTATAAGCGAAGCAAATGCTCTACTAACCTTGGCTGATTTGGAAACATAGGTGTTTCTCCCATTGCTCCAGCATCTGTGGCCTGGGCTCAAACCCTGGCTTTTCTAGCTCTGTGACCTTGGGTAAGTTTCTTAAACTCTCTCTGCCTCATTTTCCTTTCCTAGAAAACAGGAGTAATATCTCTTTCCCCAGAGCGGAAGTCAAGATTAAATGCAATAATATCTGTGGAAAGTCTAGCCTGGAATGGGCACACGGGAAGCTCAGTAGTGGAGGCTGTATTGTTGGGAAACTCATGGAATCTTGTCTCAACCAGATTCTTAAATATTTCAACACCCAAGATGTAAAAGCATAATGAAGAAGGCAAACAGAGGAGAAAGAGGATTTAGAAAACTGGTTGGTTGAGTTCTTTGGGTTTGGGAAAGAGTCCTTCCTGTTAGCTGTAAGATCTGCAGTGGGAAAGACCTGGCAGAGGAGAATATTTCCGAGGAGCTTCCCCTGGAAGTCAGCTCCGGGCCCTGCTGTGTGTGTGTGTGTGTGTGTGTGTGTGTGTGTGTGATGCCGGCCTCTGCTGTGTGTGTGTGTGTGTGTGTGTGTGTGTGTGTGTGTGTGATGCCGGCCTCCTGCCAGAGAACAGAGGGTCTGAAGGCCGCTGAAGACTGAAATAGCTGGCAGTACACATATGCCTTGCTCTGTGCCAAGCACATTTTTTACTTAGTTTAAAAATTATCTACAGCTATCAACTCCCACCAATGACCAACCCCCTAGTGGAACAGATGAGGAAACTGAGCCCGAGGAAACAAACAGGCTTACTGAAGAGCACACAGTGTGCCCGTGGAAGAGCAGCACTGATACCCAGCACTCCCGCTCCCATCTCAGTAGCTGCTTCACCATGTGGCCTGAATCTTCATTTTTTTAGAAAATATAAAATTGTCAATGAAGATTATAACTGTGGTAGAGGGTTCCAAGACTGCCACTGACACTTCATCCCCTGTGTATAAGGGATGGTGTGCTGCCCCGTCGAGAGAGGAGCCTGTCCCCCACCTCTTGAATGCAGGCTGGTGGATGGCTCTGATGCTGGACCGCAGGAGGCATCCGGCTCGGACAGACCCAGATCTAGGCCCCAGCTGCAGCTCGGCTTTCTTGGAACTCAGCTGTGGTGCTGTAAGGGAGCCGATGTAGCCTTCCAGAGGAAGAAGCCTCACGAGAACAATGAGAAAAGTACATAGAATGGACTCAACTTTAAAATAAAGAAGTACAGGGGCACATGGGTGGCGCAGTTGGTTAAGCATCGGACTCTTAGTTTCAGCTCAGGTTGTGATCTCAAGGTCATGAGATTGAGCCCCGTATTGGGCTTCCAGCTCAGCGCAGAGTCTTCTTAGGCCTCTCTCTTCTTTGCCCTCTGCCCCTCCCCCCCCAATAAACAAATATATAAATAAACCTTTAAAAAATAAAGAAGTCACATAGTTCTTGTTTCCTTCAGGTTGGGTAAAGAGAAGTGATTATGTGTACATAAAGCATTTCAGAATTCAGGTGGTACAGAATTGCACTTCCTGTAGCCCATTACCCAAGAGATGACCTGGGAACCTTCCTCCTGAGTGTCACAGCCCTGGGGTCCCGGAGGCCAAGGCCATCATTTCTGCCTCCAGGAAGCATATCTCCCAGAACTAGAATAAAGTGGAGCCACTGTCCACCTGCCCCAGCCATATCCACATGGCTGCTTCCACGGGGCCCCAGTGGTGCTGAGAGAGCAGCAGACCATCCAGGCAGTGCTGGTCACATTTTCTTCCCAACAGGCCCTTGGGCAAAGCCCTTAGCTTTGAAAGCTGTACATTGGCAGGTGCAGAAGTAGGGAGGCCTGGAAGGTTTCCCATGGGAAGCTGGGGTTTCCTTTACATCTTAGGTCTGATGTTCACGTTGGAGGGTATAGCCCTTTGCCGTTTGCCTTCTTAGGTCCTGAGGTCCAACCACCTACATTACTCAGAGCACTTGGGTGCTCCTAGAAACAGTTTTGTTGATAATGGACCTGGGAGAATTGCCTGCCCCAGTCAGCAAGACCTAGCATTGACTCACCAAATCTGTAAAGTCACGTGCCTCCACAAAAACCTTCAAAGCTCTCTGCTTACCCACTCTGCATCGCTTCTTTTCCTGTTCTCTTCATTTTGCACTTCTCTTCAATGACATGCAAAGGTTATCTGTGGAGCCACTCCTGTGTGCACAACCCAGTGCGAAGGGCTGACAGCTTGACAAGGATGAACCAAACACAGCCCCTGAGCTCAAGGTTACCACGGGGGCGGGGCGGGGGGGTGCACGGAGGCAGAGAGACAGCGGCTCAAATGACTTGAAATGCAAAACAAAACCAAAACCAAAATTCCATAATAGGAGCCTTGAAGCAGGTCAGAAGGAAGAGAACACTTGGTTGGCTGGGAGTCTGGGAGCGCTTTCAGAAGGGTGTCGGGGAAACCTTCCCCCCAGGTTCCCACTTCCCAGTGTTGCCATGATCTCAGCGGTAATGACCCATGGGGAGGTTTGTATCCATCCACTTTGGCAGTGGGGGCTCAATGATTCCCATTCAGCCACAGGACAACCTTTGTCTCCCATCTTATAACACTGTGCACCAAATCCCTGTAGATGAGTTGCCCCACCCCATGCCCTGCGGGGTTAACCCAGCAATGCACAGCAACCACAGGGTGGGAGGGCTCACCACCAAAGAGCAAGACAGGAGGTGAAAACCAAGACCAACTCCAGGATGTCTCCAACAGAGACATCCCATCTGCTCCAGCTCACACTCTGACTGATGCAGTCAGGAGCACTGTTTGTGGTTTTCTTTAAAGCTGGCCCAACTAGAACTGGCTTTATCCTGGACAGAAGTGCAACCAGGGATTGATGGTCTGATGGGTTTCTGGTCTAGCAGCTTCTGAGAATGGCAGCCAGTTCTGCCTGGGAAGGTTTGTATTTCAACTGGGATGAAACAAAAAATGGAGGGGGTGGAAAACTAGAGAGGATTCTCAGCTCACCCTTAGAGTTCCCTTTGAGATCAAATGGTGACTCAGTGGGGAGGTAACAGGAGGAGGAAGAGGCTTATACTCCAGAGGGCAAAGTGGATGAGACAGCCAAGTCCAACACTGTTCAGAGAAGCCAACTCCCAACTAGGACAGTCATCCTGATCAGTGTGTGGATTTCCTGCATGTTCCAGAAAGGCCCAATGGCCACTTGTCCTCATGGTTCATCTGGTGGGTTCATCCTCTGGCAGAGACCTGCAGAATCCACTCACTCCTAGTCAAAGGTCCTAATGCCCATCAGCAGCCCACCCTGTCCCCTTCATAGTCTCAGTGCTGTGGGTATCCTTGCTGAGACACTTGTTCATGCAGTGATCACCCTAGATGCTTGGGTCCTCCATCACAAGAGTCTACAGAGGAGGAAGGGAAACCAGGGAGCAGTCTTTGGGCAGGTCTGAGCTATCAGACCCCTTTTCCTGCCCCAAGAAGGCAAAAGAAGCTGAAACCACTCTTGCTATCTTTGCCTGTGGCCTCAGGAATGCTTCCATGGGCTCCCCAGCCTCTCAACTCAATCAACCCAAATGTGAGGGTTTACATACAGGCGCAACTTTGGGACAAAGACCGAAGACCGTGGCAGGAAAGGGGTCAGCCAGCAAATATGTGCTGGCCACCTGGGGTGGACACTGCTTTCTCTGGGGCCAGTCCCTGCTGGTCCCAAAGACAGATTAAACAGGGTCCCAACCCTGAAAGCACCAGCTGAGAATCCAGGAAGATGTGTACTATTCGACTGGATCAGAAAATCAGTGATAGAAAATATAAATCTAGTATCACCAAATTTCTGACAACAGTTTTGAGAAATTTAAAGCTGGCCAATACTGCCACCTGGTGATGGATTCTACATTTAACTTTTTTTTCCCCATGATATTGTCTTTAATCCCCCTCCCCCATCTCACCCATTCCCTCCACCCACCTCCCTCCCCTCTGGTAACCCCTGAGTTTGTTCTCTATAATTAAAGAGTCTGTTTCTTGGCTTTTCTCTCTCTCTCTCCTTTGCTCATTTGTTTTGTTTCTTAAATTCCACATATGAAAAAGAAAGTCCACATATGAGTGAAATTATATGGTATTTGTCTTTCTCTGATTGACATAATTCATTCAGCATAATACTCTCTGGATCCATCTATGTTGTTGCAAATGGCAATATTTCATT